TAAATGATTAAATGTGAAGACACATCATTAATTTCTACACGTAATAATTGTCAAGTACATTTGTAAACTGTTGGAAGAACAACAATAAGCAAAATTTGTTGGCTACTGGATTATGTACGTATTGATACAATTGAAATAGTCATCAAGTCGAGACTCAGGTTAATTACAATATTTAGATCCAGTTGAAGACATAAAAGATTGGTACTCTAACGTAACAAAATGACAATTTATTTATTATTAATATAGATGTATTTATTTTGTAGTTTATTTATTTTGAATTAATTATTTTTATTATTAGGTGTAGAAATAATCTTGTGTTCTGACATATTCAGAAAATAATTCTATACCTAATATTTTCTCAAATAAATACTTGTCTCTGTTGAAGTAGGTTCCAACGACCTTTCTTGCGTGAATGTGTTTTATGACCCTAATGTACTAACAGTTTCAGGTAAGGTATTTTTTTTTTTTAATGATTAATTCAAGGCAGAAAGATCCAAAGTATTCGAAATGTAATGCATACGAAATTAAATATTGATGAAACCGTGTATCGTTGAACGAAGCAACGGCGTATCATTGCTCCCCATAAGCCACGATGCAGGAAATTGGTGTTAATAACCGACGAGCAGTCCACGATACGGTGAAAACTTGCAAGTGCGGCCACTGGCGTGCGTTCCATTCGCCGGGACAAGAGAATCACGTAATCGTGCCGCGGCCTTAAATAACATTCCTCGTAAACATGTTCCTAGCGAGACGTGCATTCGATGTACAGTATGAGCGTTCGATTCTCTCGAAATAATCGCTTCTGAAATTGATTGATTTAATAGAATTGGTTAAATAGAAAATTTGACTTTACAAAATCAATCTCTTAAAAATTGATTCGAATTGCTCCTCCAGTTGCCAACTATATCCCACACATAATTAAAATTTGTTACATTAAATCTACATAGACACATTTATGACCCTTTCCATTTTCCACTACTCTTTTTTATTTTTCGACGCTTTCTCCGATTGGAATTAATATTGAGTTTAATATTAACATTATTACACTGCAACACGAAACATACTTCACGTAAAATTTACATGTCGTCCCATAAATTTGTACTAGAAATTATATTTAATCAAAATAAACTATAGAAATTTTAAGGCTACGAAATAATAACTTTTCCAGCAAGATGAGAAGCGATCATAGATAAGAAAGGTTGATTGTATTTTTTCATAACATTTAAAGGTATAATTTATAATAATTAGTAGCACAACGGTAAGTGACACTAACTTGTGGAATGGTCTAATATTTTCTATACTAGACATGATTCATCATACTGGTTATCAATCGTTCCAATCAAACTTTGTCCGTTTTTGGTCCAAACGTCGCTACGTCAACTCGTTTCGTTACTCGTTTTTGTCGGTATCGCGAACTAGACGGATGCATGAGCCGTGATAAGTTTGCATATGCAACAAAGTTCTGCTAATCGCTGGAGCACTCTGTTGCATTCAATTGGCCGTAGATAAATGAACGATCGAGGTCATCTGCCCTCGAGGGGCAGACGTTTCGCGATAAGTCACGTCTTTATCACGAAAAGGGGACGGGCTGTGCGAATATTTGTTGCGAAAGGCCTAAGATTTTCGTTTGAGGGGAATAACCTGTTGCACTCGAGGAAAGATGGGTTTGGAACGAATCTTGTGACTGACACTTATGCTCTGGCGACTGAATGAATCGACTCGGCAGGAAAAGTAGAAGTCCAAGTTGAGACAGGCAAACAATTTCATTCGAATAATAAACAAGGGCCAAAACATAAACTTTCACTTTTAATTTCACATTCATTTTTATCTATCAATTATTTCGCACTTTTGATACTGTCATACTCTGCTCGTATTCTGATATATCTAAAGAGCTCGTCCCTGTTGAAATAAACATTCAATAGTTTGAACTTAGCGCGCTTACTGTACTATAATACATGTTACCTTCTTGTATTAAACCAAAAGTGTGTATACGGCGTATTAAAATATTAAACCGTTAATCAGTATCAATTAGTTCAACAGCCAAGCCTGTCCTATCCCGACTTCCATTTCGACAGTCCCATTTATAAAAAATAACGTAGTCATAATAAAACCAACGTGTAGGAACGTAAAAACTAAGAGGCATCGAATTCTTGGAAGCAATAAATAATACGCGTTAGCAACGAAGAATAATTCGTTCGTAAACATTTTCAAAATTGGTAATAAAACTGTTAAAAGAATTAGCTGTCCAAGATGAAAGTGGCCTAATCAAAGCTCTCTTTGTTTAACTAATTTGTAATAAAGATTAACAGGTCAACGAAGCATGACCAAGGATTTGAAATAATCGTGATGCGAACGTTGTGTGTCGACTATAATTCCATTACGTGTTGACATTCTCGTAATGTTGTGGATGTAGGAATAATATTATTATTGCAGAAACGTAAGATTATTCAGGTGCTCGTAGATTTATACCGCATTTTTTTTTAAAGATATACGAGCTTATGTCGATACCTTCGCGAAGAAATATTACTTCGTTGACAATTAAACTTCTCTATCATTACATACTATTTAATTATATCTCATAATGACTGTTTTCCTTATCTCGTTCAGCAGCTGAGTTTACGTCGATAACTTCGCGTAGTAATATTATCTCATTGACGATAAAACTTTATTGAAGACAAAGTTCACGTATTTGTTAAACATTACTAGCAGAAATTCCGTTTTTCAACAAGATTCAAGTATCATTTTCATAATGAAGAGCTCAAATGTAGAAATTATAAGTGTAACAACTCTTCCATTTATCTTGTATATAAGAAAAACCTTGACGTTTCTATTACTAAGCCAATGCTTTGTATTCTCCAAGGTCAGTTCTGCGAGTACTGAATCACTATGAATTTAATACCACCTGATGCAGTAACGTGAAGGTGGATACACATTAATGCACAAGCCATGCAATACAACTTGAACGTTGGTATGCGACTATGTGTACGTATGTGTCCATCGACCATACCACTCCAACGAGTGATAAGGTATATTCGTCGTAACTTTTAGCGGTATAAATTGTCTGATTTAAGAATTCTTCTACAGTATTAATTTAGATTTGCCAGAGCTGCAGAGGAAATACAAACAGCTTGTAAGATTGGTTCTGTCCTATTCAATCGGAACATTGAAAAAGTGTATTCTTTAAATTTTGCTCTGTTCTTTTCTCAAGATAAACAACAAAATTTCCAAATCTCGGACGAAAGTCTCTCAACGTGTATCGTAATTCGCGACACATGTTTAATTGTTTATTGTGAAATACTTCATTATATAATTCAACTATCACACTTTGCTTAAGGAGGCACAACACTGTAAAATGTTTTTACAAATTGATTTTTGTTGGGATTTCTCGAAAGGTACACACTTCGAGAATGTTATGTCAAATTTGGGAAAGAAACTCAATTTGCTAGAGTTGCAAACTTGAATGTGGAACAGTGCCAAACCCTCGAAGGCTACCGAAGCTTTAAATGTCTTTACCTCTAGACACCTTTCAACCTGGTTGACAGGTTGAAAAAAAACTATCAGTCCGATCATATAATCAAAGTCGTATTCACTTCGTTTTTTTTTTTTTTTAAATTGCTGTTCTCTAATTCTTTTTTAATATATAGGTACTATTTGTTCGTTAAATTCAGACATTTTTTTCGAAGGTCCGCCATTTCTCGTTTATTTAGAATATTGAAAAAAATCTTACGTCAGGTCATAGCTATTTAGTTTATGAAAATGTTTGATTTTTTATTTCATATACGTATGCGCTGTGATTACAAAGCTGTCAACTGAACAGCTGTTTATTTTTCAATGTTCACTGGCGCACGATGTCGATAGTAGTATTGAAGTATAGAACAATAAATATTCAATAGAACATAATGAAAACTTGAAAACAATCCATCGTATAACTTCTTTCCAAAGAATTTCTGAAAATAGCTCTTTTTTGGAGCCGTCACAGTGTTGTACCTCGTTATCGACTAAGAAATCGAACACTGGTGCAGCCTTACATCGATTATTCAATGTATCGATTTGAATAAAAAATTTCGCCCATATATTTGTGAATCAGAAGTTGAAGTCTCCAGTGACAGTAGAAAACGCCAGAAACGAAATTTCGATACCAGAGATTTTTACTGATTTTTACTGGTTATTCATGTTCAAAAGGTGAAAACTACCCTCGAAGTTGTAAATGAAATACTCGTTTGATTCTAAAAAACTAACAGTGATAGAAAAAAGTGTTAAGCATAAAAAGTGTGGTTTTTAGCAAACAATAACATACTCTAAATAAAAATGATACTAAGATATAAGTGGCGCATCTGTAGCCAATGATATCGCTTTTTTATCAATATTTCTTGTTAGAAATGTATTTGCTGGCTGAAAACTAGTTAATTTCAACCAAAATAAAAACCAATAAGCTCACATATTTTCCATTTCCATTTTAGTTACATTTAATTATATTTAGTTACCATTCTTTTGCTTTCTTTTAATAAAAAGTTTAAAATACAGACCCCATAATAATAAAAGCCTATTTATATATTCTAACAAAGCGTATCGAGATTACACCGTTTCGAGAATTTTATTCATTCTCCCGACTTTACATGGACGGTACCAGTAATCAGTAAACTACTAAATTACTAAAACAATTTATAACTGAAAAAACTAGTTCAATTTTACAAAAGCATCTTTGCATTCGTATCTGATAGAAAACTGAGCATAACGAACGATAAATACGAGAAAATTCTTCATTTGGACATTTGTCCAACTAGATCCATAAATTGAACCACTCTGTCACCTTCGTGGTCCAGTCGCGCTCCGTTCCCTGCTGCTTGACCCGAGTTAGCAGAGGTGGAAGTAATTCCCCTCCAGAGGGAAACTGGCGGGAGTTCTCTCCCAAGTCAAATTCTTTCTTTTGTCGTACCTTAACCCGAACCGGTTGAACAAGAAGTAAACACACGAACAGTGGAGTGAAAGTTTCGTGTTACCTTGTTTGATGATTCCGGTTGGGGTGAAATCGGTTCGAATCGATTCCCTTATCGATCGGCTCCTTTTACCAGGTCGTTCGGTTTCCCGGTTTGGGTAACCACCGAGAAACGTATCGGTAACGCGAACGTCTTCAACTTCTCGAATCTCACTGCGCAGATGGAACCGGCTGGCGGTCGCAACTCCGTGGGACCGACTGATCACAATTCTTCTGCGGTATTGGAGTTACTCGTGGAACACGGAATACCACAGCCACTGGACGGAACAAACGAACTATCGAACGTAGCTCGCGCGACTGTTTTCACTGACAGACTACGGGAGCATCCGGCAAACCACTTAACTTCTACTACTCGGCTGTAGATACCGTCCCCCCTCCAGCGACCAACCAGCGCGCTTGCAAAAGAGGCGTGTACAAGGTGATCGCGAAGAGAGGATTTTACATTCCCAAGGAGAGCTATTCGTGTACAACGAACCCCGCTAACGGAACCGCATGCGAACGAAGTGCATCGCAATCGGAGCCAGTCGCGCCAACAAATAACGCGCGTCCTCCGTCGCCGCACAACGCTCCACGCTTTATTTACTAATAAGAGAAAAAAAGAGAACAGAAACGAAAAGCAAGTGTTAACGTTTAGACATCCTAACGTGGAGAACAAGTTTTGTTGAAACGACAACTCGTCGTTTCCTCTACCCCTTTTTGGAAATTCATTTTATTCGATTTTCGATGGTGTAGTCTCGGCGAGAAAATTGTTTATCGTTCTCCACGGTGGTTATTGAAACTTATTTAACACGCGAAATGTAAAGTTAGTGAACGTGTACAGGAATTAGCATATTGTATGTTGTCTATGATATAAGCGCTAGGAGAATTAGAGGCGAGATAAGTGCTCAATGTTTCAAAACACAAATTAACATTTTTCGTATCGGTTCGAGTTTGAATTTTCCTCGGAAAAGTATGTATATTTATGAAACTACAGAAAAGGAATATGCTGGGTGTTTCGTTTAAAGCGGACAAGTTACATGCACCATTTCATCAGGGAATGAAATTGTAAACAAAACGTTTTTACAGAAGTTATTTGGTAAAAATATACAAAGAGTAATAGACAAAATAGACAAGAACTTCTAGTTTCTAAATATTAAGTTGTCCCAAAAGTTTCTTTCGCTTTATTAATAAGTAATACATGCACAATATTTGATGTTTTATGTTACATTACTGAATTGTGCACGATTCATTTCGCTCCATTACTGTTACAACATGAATATCTATGAAATTAGATTGTCTATTTATAGAAACACGACCACATCAAATAATTGAGTGCAACTCGCGAAAGAAACTTTCGGGACAACCTAATGTATTTGTGTTTTCGACTATAGGTAAACGATATGTTTTAATTGCCATCAACCGTATGCCAACGATTTTGCTGTAACGCATATTTTGACGATGAGTATAGCGAATATGGATCAACAAACTGGATTAAGAATTGAACTTTTATATTGTTCAATAGGTATATTTTAACTGTAAGAAGCAATTAATTGATGTACTTGATCCCTTAAGGATATTCGTGTTGTTTAAGGTCTTCATAATATTTCTATAACGTTATACTGAAAAAAATTGTAAATTGCAGAAGTTACAAGCGTTTATATTACGTGTAGTCTCCTTAAGTTCATTGAACACGAAACTTTCACCGTATTATTTCTGAAACGTTCTTTCTCAAATATGTCACGCAAAAACTGCATTTCGGATCGAGGTCAAATTTTGCATACATATAAAAAACAATTCTACTTATGACATGAATTAGTGTATTATTTGTCTAGCTATTAAAGTCACAAATTTAATGGAAATATCGAAGATTTATGTTTAAGATACTCCAATTTCGTCAACTTTCTTTTAATCTATTTTCCCTTAAATTACCTTGTAAACACATTTGTAATGAATAAACCAAAACTAATTGCCATTGATTCTGATCACTAAGGCGGACTCTATCGCTTTAATATATTATAATAGAAGATAAATGATAAAACAAACAAATGAGAAAGTTTTGATTCGACCACGTTGATAACCTTTGATGCTAATCATTCATTAAAATTATTTTATTAATGTTAATAGAATGTGATAGGATAAACATACACTTCTATACGTGTGAACGTATCGTCTTTTGTAAACATTATTAGCTATCATTATAAATCAATATTGACTTTTTCCTCTATTACGTAGCGCATTCTGATTACTGGAATGAAATATACGTCGTAAAATAATATACATTACCGAACATTCATTTCAATACATATGAAATATCTGACTTTGTAGAAAAGATTTAAATACCTATATTTTTGTTATCAGTTAACTTTATTAATCAAAACATGCACCAACAGATTCGGTTTGTGATGGATTCTTCATCGCATCTTATGCTTGTCCGTTAACTCATACGGAATCTATTTATCCATCGTCTTCGTTTTTTCAATCATTTACAAATGTCGGAAAGTTGTGATATTGTATACAATTAAACTTTCTACAAACTCGCGTACAGCTTGACGTAAATCGTACTCGATTAATTTATTTAAATCATGGAAGTTTGGCGAATGAACGGCATGTTTTTCGTTGTCTAATAGCGTCCTCTAATACTCGTTTAGATCCATAGGTTCCAATATTGCAATCCTGCTCTATTAAAAAAGACACCACTTTGCGTCGAGCACACTTGACTCTCCATAACAGCTCTTCTTATATTGTACTTTATAATCGTCGCCACTTGTACAAGGTTTATGACACGTTTGGAAATACCTGTTACATAATGCATAGGCGAATGACCGGAATATTCGGTAAGTAATAAAATGTGTTAAAATTACTAGACTGTGAATTTTTATTCAAAATAAAATCTTTGAAAACGTACGTATAAAAATTTGACCACAATTGGAATTTATACTACTTATTATATTATTGCATTTTGTAGTTCCTTGTGCATTCAAATATCCTGTAAATGCATACAAATTCGCAATCCAGTTATTACAATGAGAAAATGAATCTAAATACTGGTCAATCTCTTACAACTTATCAAAACATAAACGTATATCAATACTATTTTACTTATTAAAGGTTTATTACATAAAAATGGTTCAGTTTTCTTACATCAATACATTATTAGACAATATCTATGTACTCGTTTCATTATTTTTCTATGATGTATGGACAAAGAATTCACGAATACACATTATTGCACATAGATTACCGTTAAAAGTAACTAATTATCCTTTAAAAGACTTGAATATACCACGGTGAACATTAACGTTCTTGCACATAGGTTTTGTACTGCTGAATAACAGAGTTTATCATTAACCCAAACGCGTTTAAGGGAGTCAATGAATATACGTGTATTGTTCTTATATTGTTCTACCTAGACTACTTAATGGGAGTCATTTGTCTCCTCTAGAGCATAATTTTCTCGTTTATGACCAAGCCTGATATGGTCAACTTCAATATACTAATTACGACGTTCAAGTGTCCAAACGACTCCCCTTCTCATGTTTGAGAAATAAACGCAAGAAACAGTATACAGGTATTGGCGATAGGTATATTCGACGGAGGAGATCTTAAGTGGTCATAAAATCCGTCAAATGCCGAGTTTTAGAACTTAAACCGACCGCAATTAGTAAACCAATACCATTTTAGACAGGGATAGATCTTTTCGTTCAGGACTGTACGATATCAGAATTAGGAGGTTCACAGTTCAATGACTTCATTCTTTTTTATGTGCATTTAGCTAGAAATCTCTACTTCACGTGTATCGAAATACCCGGGTACACGGGTAATTAATGGATCCGTGTTTTAATATGTGTATTTTTAATACGCGGATACGTATCGAAATACGCTAACACCCGGATATCCAGGTACGTACACGTACATCGAAATACACGGGTACGCACATTGACTTGAACAGTTATTTTAACTAATAAATAAAGTTTTACAAATTACACTGAAAAATGTATTCTGTTATATTTATTCTTCTTATGTTTATATTTTTTTTATTTATTTGTTTCATTGCTTATCAATTTTTTCAAAATTAATCATTATTTTAAAATAAAAGCTTTTGTTACATAAAAGTTTGTATATAAGAATAATTGGATACTGTACCCGAATAATTCGATGTATGCGTATCCGTATATTTCGATGCACGTGTACGTACCTGGATATTCGTGTATTTTAATACCCGTTCAAAACCGTAATCTCTAATATTTACGCTTGTCTCCTTAACGGATAAACGGATTACTATATGAAGATACTTCATTCGTTTCCCATGATCGAAACATTGTTTCTTATTTTCGGTCAAACAACACACCAATCAAAGTGCATAGAATATAAATTCGTAAACTTTGGTACTGGTACTGCCTGACTGAAAATGAAAGATTAGATTCAAAAGCCGTTTACTTGTTGAAAAAGCTGTAGTAGATAAGAACTTAGTTAACCAATTATCGTCAAGAGTTTTATGGATTTTCCAGTTTGGAAAAACTCGGAGGAGACATTTATAAGAAAATGAGGTTAATGATCTTCTAATACAACTCACCGCAAAAATTTAATCAACAGGTTTATGATGCGATAATGTTCGAAGGAACTGTGTTTTCTGAACATTTTTTAGGTTTGGGGCCCCGTTGTTGGAACGTGGACATGTATACCTGCGGGTCGCAAACACGCCTGTCGTTCTAGGGATCAATTACCTGGGTCAATAAAGTAATTACTACTGTTTCAATTTACGATCACACAAGATCCCTTCCAGCTACTATACAGGGTGATCCGCTCGCTAGTGGACACAATGGAGAACCACAACAATAGCTCACCGTTATCGTAAACTTTATGATGGTGACCCCCGCAGCGAAAATTTAATTTTATCGTTAATGTTAGGAAAATTATACAAGAAAAATCAGTTAGGGATCCGACTTGGTTCACTTGCCTCTACGTACAGGGTGTCCACGCTAAAGTGTGACAGTCGCGATATTTCGATGACTATTAATGATACGAAAAATTGTTTGTATATAAGTTGCTGGATAAAATGAGATCTCTATCGTGGCGCAAACGAAAATTTTGTTACGTTATTGACGGAAAAAAAAAAGAATACTTCTTGTCATAATTCCTGAAAGCATGAACTGTCAACACGTTATCGCGTCATAATCAATTTTCGATATTATCTAGAGTCTTGATTTAAGACCCCGTCTTGTATAAAATTTATAAGTAACATCGACGTGGGAAAACAGCGTGCAAAATCACGACGATTCGAACGATACAAAGGGTTCAGTGACGTTACAGCAACGAAACGTCTCCCCTCTTGCCATCTGGCGTCGA